TAAAGGATCTATGTACCAAGCAATATTTTATTACAAAAGTGCATAAAAGATCCATGTGCTCAATATTGTACATAGATCTTTTATGTCTGACCAAACGGATTGCTGTTGTCATGTCATGTTACATAGATCCCTAAAGTTAGGTTATGTTGTTCTTTACATCTAAAATCGTACTGTGTACTTTTATAGTGAAAATAGTGAAATAAGTTGCGAAAATGTCAGCAAGAAGTAGACTTTTACTTAATCTGGGACAAAAACAGTATGAAGGTATGTTGAATTAATAATAAATCTTGTTTTTTACTAAAATATGCTTCTTAATATTAATTTGAGGTTAAGAGTTTACCGGAACGGTAACAAAATACCTGCATAAAACTTGTTTTGAGCAATGTTTTTATTATTTAAACATTGTAGAACAACTTGATCAGATAAAAAGAGATTAAGCATAACTTTATTGTCGTAGATATTGCCGAAACTTTACCTGAACAAGATAAAACTCCACCAAGAATCGAGAATATCCTGCATGAAAAGCAGATATCTTCACCGGAGTTGCAAGATACATTTAACGGTAAATATTCATTCTAAAATTAAATTGTTTAAAGGTTTTGGTCTACAGATAAAAATTATAAAGTAACCTACCTACCCTATATGTTTAAACAAAATTTTAAATTGTAGATTCTATATCTGAAGATGAAGTAATTTCTCCAGAATATACTTCAGACGACTACAATCCAGATAGTACTGATTCGAGCGAAAGTTTTGAAGATTCTCATTGTGAGGATGAAAGTCATCCCGTATCAGTACCACATGTCACAGCAGAAGATTCAGTTTTACTTATAACTCAACATGAAAATACTGAAAATCTATTGGACAGGAAGGAAAGTCTTTTAATATCTAGACATAATGTTAAGAGAAAGGTATTCAATTTGCCAGAAAAAAAAATCAAGAATAAGGAAACGCCGTCCTGAAACATGGAAGAAGAATAAGACTGCCTTAGCGAGACAGAGAGGTGAGACATACATGTCATTAAAAAGTAAAAAAGAGATGCCAAGCAAAAGTCCCGAATTAGGATCTTTATGCAAAAAAGAAAATTGCAAAAAGAAATGTGATGAGCAATTTAACAAGTTTGATAGGGAAACAATATTTCGTAAGTTTTACGCATTAGATCAAAATGCAAAAAACTCATTACTTTTTAAATCTGTTTCGATTATGCCAGTTAATCGCCATAGAAAAAACATTAGTAAAAATAAATCATATACATTTGGTTACACAATAACGTGTCAGACACGTATCAAAACTGTCTGTAAGACTGCCTTTATCTCCCTTTACCAAATATCAAATAAAAAGGTGCAACTCATTCAGAATCAATTAAAATCAGGGACTACAGCTCCTTCACCAGATAAAAGGGGGCATCATAATTCTAGACCAAATAAAATAGAAAAAGATGTGGTTGATGCTGTAAAAGGACACATTCTTTCTTTTCCTGCAGAACAGTCACACTATTCGCGAAACAAAAATGCCAATAAAATGTATTTGTCTCCCTTGTTAAATATAACAAAACTGCATGAATTGTATCAAGAATATGTTCAAGAAACTAAGATGGACAAACGGTTTTTGGTTTCAAAAAGTTTTTATACGCACATTTTCTCATCAGAATTTAATTTGTCTTTTGGCCAGCCCAAAAGTGATACATGCAGTATGTGCGATGCCAATTTAGGGGATGAGATCCACAAAGAAAAATTTAAATTTGCTTTTGAGCAACAAAAAGTCGATAGAGAACGGGCACATAATAATAAAGAAATATGCTATTTAACCATGGACCTACAACAGACCATGCCTTTACCACGCCTTACTACTTCTAAGGCATTTTATTTGAGGCAGATGTGGTTCTATAATTTTGGAATCCACTCAATAACGTCAGAGGGTGATAAAGCCTACTTTTTTAATTGGACCGAAGATGTAGCAACGAAGGGCAGTCTTGAAGTTGGCAGTAGCTTGCACACATTTGTTCAACTTTTAACAAGCAGAAAGAAAGAAATAAACCATCTTCTCATATGGTCTGACTCGTGTGCAGGGCAGAACAAAAATTTTAACCTAATATGCCTATATCAGTACTTAATTTTAAAGGGATACGTGAAGATAATAGACCATAAATTTCCAGAAGTAGGGCATTCCTTTTTAGATTCTGATAGAGATTTTGGAATAATTGAAAAGAAATTACGAAAAGTTGAGACCATATATGCCGCAGATCAATATAGAGATATTATAAGAGAATCAAGTAAAAAAGGTTCTGTTATTATAAATATGACCGACCATTTTAAAAATATAGCAGACATAGAAAATAAATTACACTTATTAAATAGAAAAAAGAATTGCTGTGGAGATAAAATAAATTTTAGAGATGATATCAAATGGATACGTGTGGATAGCTACGGTGAATATTACTACAAAAACTCCTTAGACCCAAACACGCTGTTCTTAAAAGTGGATATAATAAAAAATGTAAGGGCGAATTCAGGAGAAGGTTTTGTATTAGAAGTTATACCAAACAAAACGAATACTCTGTCCGTTGAAAAAATTAATAATTTAAAACAACAACTTTGTTTTATAGAGGAAACTTATAGACATTTTTATACTCGTCTATGGGAAAATAAAGAAGGCGCAGAAATCGAAAATGAAATAAATAAAAAAAAAAAAGAAGAACGAATTAGAAATAACATTTGGTTTTACATCGTTTTATTGTTTCTTGTATCCTTTATGCATTTTGAATTAAAAATGTTTGCCTAAGTTACTTAGGGAATAAAGGATTTATGTACATTTATAATTAAATATTTTTCTTTAGTTGTGAATTATTATTGTTAAATTATCATTATTAAAAAGTGTACTTTAAGGTCTAAGTTTCTTCAAAATTGTATCATTCTAGGCTTATTAATAAAAAAGTTCTAATTAAAAAACTTTGAATTCATTTTACTTGAAAAGTTGTTTATGTTACATAGATCCTTTATGCACTTGTGTCTTCAATTAATTGTTTAAGGATTACTTGACAGGTCTATACTAGTTGATTTGAATATGACAGCGCGCACAACAACGAGACATCTATGTTTTAGTTTCAGTACTGGTTATTTTGGGAACTGTAAACTACGTGTCTGTAAAAATTAACTGTTTTTTACTATTCTCCTTACAATTTCATCATATCTTCTCATCTTTTAAACCTTGCTTGGACTTCTAAAAATATTAAAAAATATATAAAAAAATAAAACGACGTTTCCCAAACGTCACTTAATTTATAAGTGTATATCTATGTATATTATGCATATTACTGTATATCCATCGAGCTAAAAGACAAAAGAGGGAATCTAATCGTTATGAAAAGGAGACCAAAAAGTGGCCTCTGATGGCGGACATTTCCGGAAATGCGAATGCGCCAAATTTAAATTTTCCGACACTTATTAACAGTAGCTATAAAATAGTTTTCAGAATGTGTCTTAGACGAGAAAGTTTTAATTAAATATTAACGATAACAGTCTAACTTCAATATAAATAAGATTTCATGTGACAGTTGGGACAAACAATAACATAACCCAACTAAATTTGATTTCTTAAACAAGGAAAGACTCTCTTTCCTTGTTTAATTTGGCCTCTCAAGATGGAACTTCCTGTCTAACAATATTTTTGTCTCTACTACCTTTAAATTCCCTCTTTTGTCTTTTAGCTCGATGTGTATATCACAAGGTGATTACACGCGTCACGATGTTTCGAGTCACGCTAAATATTATTTCGGGCTCGTGCAAAAACATAATATCAAACAATAAGAAATATTCACTTCAAAAACATAACTCTTGTTTTTCTTTTGCAGACAATTACTTTCCCAAAGTCAGTATTATTTATAGTCTGCAATGAATTTTGCGAACGATTCTGCTACTATGGCATGCGAGGTAAGTATATTTAAAAAAAGACTAATTTAGATAGGCTACAATATATGTATAACTTTAATACAATCCAATGTTTTAATAATCTACCAGAATTATTTTGAACTAGAAACTAAATGTGAGGAAGACATAAAAGACCTTCTCGATCTGAGACTATGTAGGGGGAGATGTTTACTGAATAGTACTCCCACAGAACAGAATGGCCGAGGAACTTCGTTACCGTCACTGAACGATAACAAAATGGTTTTCGGGCAGGAAAATTGTTCATTAATAATAAATTTACTCCTTATAGAGTAAACAGATAATAGAAAAACGTAAAGCTCGAATTCGCTTATTATGTTCAAAAAATTGAGCTAAAAGTAACTACCTCATTAAAGGAGTTTTATTGTTTCATATGGTCATTGGATTGGGTCTCAAACGACCATATTACGCGCAACAAAATTGACCACATCATTGTAGATGCCCGTCATGGGAACAATATTATAGACATAAGAAGCCTGAGAGGAATAGACGGAGACACAGATCATTACTTAGTCAGAGCAAAAGTCAAATCCAGAATATCTAGCCACAAATACAATAAAACAACAATAAACCCACAATGGAACATGGACGAAATGCACAATACAGAGAAACAACAAAACTATAGAGAACAACTTGAACAAACCTTGAACTCTGAAAGAAAATACAATGATATAGAACAGCTATGGAAAACGACTGCCGAAATAATAACCAAGACAGCGGACAAGATCTTTGGAAGGAGTAGGCAGAAGAGGGCAAAAACATGGTATGACGAGGAATGTCGGAAACAGCTGGAAAAAAGACAAACAGTAAGGAAGACTTGGATACAACTGCAAACAGACCAAAGTAAAAAGGAATATGACGACTGCCGAAAAGAAACAAGAAAAATAATACGCACAAAGAAAAGAAACTACGAACAACAAAAATATGAAGCTATGGAAGAGACCGCCCAAACCAGGCTCCAGAGAATTCTATAAAGCAATTTCCTCTGAGAAAAGAGGACATAGAACCAATTCCATCCATACACTGAGAGACAATCAAGGCCATATGATAATCGACGGTAAAGAAGTAACTGAAGAATGGAAAGAGTATTTTAGGGACCTTCTAAACATCATACAGAAAAACAGACAAAGAAGAGATCTATATCACAGCGGACAAACCCGTCAAAAAATCCCTCCTTTAAAGAAACCCAAAAGGCCTAAATAAGCTGAAAAATCACAAAGCGCCGGGTACGGACGAGATACTAGTAGAACTTCTGAAATATGGGGGAGACGCACTACATCGCCAAATCCACCAGCTAATAACGCACATATGGTTAAAAGAAAGGATACCAGCACGATGGAAGGAAAACATAATAGTGCCCATCCACAAATAAGGGAACAAAACAAAATGCGCGAGATCACTGCACGTATAAAACCCTCTCAAACATCATTCTTACTAGACTAATCCCTTATGCTGAAAATGTCCTAGGCGAATATCAAGCCGGTTTTAGGGCAAACAGATCAACAATAGATCAACTATTCACGCTGAGACAACTTCTAGAAAAGAGATGGGAGTATAACAGACCCATACACAATCTTTTCATAGACTTTCGACAGGCATATGATAGCGTAGAAAGAAGCCAAGTATGGAATGCCATGGCGGAGTTCTCAATACCAAAGAAACTCATTCGGATGATCAAAGTCTGTATGGAGGGTGGAATATCTAAAGTACGTGTAAATAATAAACTGTCTGGCAGCTTTGAAATCTACAGTGGACTCAAACAGGGTGAAGCGTTATCTCCACTACTTTTTAACCTTGTATTAGAGAAAGCCATGAGGTCGGCCGAAATAAAAACAGAATTGCTATCGGTTTAAGGTCTCAAGCTGTTACTCGCATATGCAGATGACATAGATCTCGTTGAGACCATCCTATCACGAAGACATCTTACAAGGTGGAAGGAGCAACAGTGAAGTAGGGCTGAAGATTAATGAAGAGAAGACAAATATATGTGTATAAATAGAACGACACGAAGAGACAGAATAGGACAAAATGTGACGATCAACACCTTCAATTTCGAAAGAGTACAACGTTTTAAGTATCTGGGGGCCGTAATCACAGCTGACAACGATGTTACTGAAGAAATAAAAGATAGAATCTAATCTGCAAACCGCTGTCTATTCGCACTGGATAAGCTCATAAAATCAAAAAATCTTACAAGAAGTTCAAAGATCAAAATCTATAAATCCATCGTCAGATCTGTAATAACATAAGGATGCGAAACGTGGACCATGACCAAAGCAAACGAAGAAAAGCTCAGACGCTTTGAACGAAAAATCTTCGGTCCTCACCATGACATCACCACAAACCAGTATAAGATCAGAACCAATATCGAATTAAAAGCACTCTACAATGACGCCGATATTGCCAAGAAATTAAATCACAGCGACTAAGATGGGCAGGCCACGTGCACAGACTACATAACGAGAGACTTGTAAAACTGGTATGGAAGGAGATTCCCACAGGCAAAAGACCACTCGGACGTCCCAGAATGCGATGGAGAGATAACATCCAATCAGATCTCCGGAAAATGAACATTCCATTTGACCCTAGGTTGATGGAAGACCGAACAAATTGGAAAAAAGTTGTACAGTCTGCCAAGACCCACCCAGGGTTGTAGCGCTACGTGATGATGATGATGATGATATGGTCAATGGACCCTTAATACCAACCCAAATATAAAAAACTGTGCTGTCCTTAAAAGAGATGTATTATTTAGTAAGGGTTGAAGTAATGCCTATAAACTAGGCTGCATTTGGGTGAATTATATTCACCTTTAGTGCATATACATCTACTTCAAAATTATATATCCTGTCAAAATGTTACCTTCTAAAGTCAAAAATAATGTTTTTTAACAAAAATATATTCAAAGAAGAAGCAAAACAAAAAGAAACAAACGAGATTTTTCTTTTTTGTACTATAACTTTTTTCCATGAGGGTATAGATATAGGTATTGCTTTAAGGAAAAAACTTAAACATAAACTTAACTTAAAAACTAAGGCTATACAATCTATAGTAATAACTGCAGAATGCTAATATTAGTATAAAATCTAAAACGTTTAAAACTCTTTTTCGATTGATTCAATTCGATTTCGATTGATTCGAGTAAGTTTTCAAAACTATGTAACTTTAGCTAGAAATTCCATCTAATGCCGTCTTTGTGAAAGTATTTCACGTGACGTGAGATCATTTGTAATACAAAAGATTAAATTCAGCGTTTTTAGATATGATTCAATGCTTTATATTTGTTGCCAAAACTAAATCGACATTTCATGTTATAGGTTTTGTTATAGGTTAATGGAAGTTTTAAATTTTTTGATCTCATAAAAATCATAAAAAATAGCAAAAATCACGCGAACTTTTATTCATTTAACAGCTTTATAGCAACTAACTACATTTATGGTAACACGAAAAAATTTGTACGAAAGCTGCAGTTTCTGGAAGAACAATTTATTTTTCTTCGATAGTTTTATTACTGGGGCAAACTTGCTGTATTTTGGTTACTCTTTCGGGATATTTCGAACATCCCGGCTGGCTATTGTCAAATTTATTTAAATCGTTATCTTGATCCATTTGAACGTCTGAACCTTCATTTGAATTAGATTGGGCTATCTCTTTGGATATATTGGCATTTGAATCAGATCGTTCGATCTCTTTAGACATATTGGAAAAGTTGCCGATACATACGTCATTCGTTAAAATAGAGCTTTCCAATGGTTCTAAGCATCGGTCTGTAACGAATGACGGTAGAAAATCAGCGTCTGTGAATATATCATCATTAAAAGGGCATATCCCCGCCTTTACGAAACCACTGTTAATATTTTGCAATGTAAATGCCTTTGGATAGGCATCACCTACAAGCTCGGCAACGTCGTATATAGTACCTACTTACATTGCCGGGATGATTTGTCATCCACTATTCGCTGTGAGTTTCGCCGGTAGCGCTCTCTCGCGGTTTGAAGCTTGTACTTTTCTTATAAAATCGGTGTAAGTTAAATATGTATGACAAAACGAGAAAAATAGATATTTATCTAAAAATACAAAATTATGAACTCAAATATTATTGTAAACTGATTACTGAACGAATACACATAATTAATAGTAAAATTAATTACGCCTTTTTATTTTATTCATTTTAATCATATTAGATTCATTCTTTTGTCTTTTTGCTCGATGCCTTTACCTCTGTAACATTGTAATTCTTGTTTTTATTTTGCATTTTCATTCTGTTTTTGCTTAGTTATTTTTTGTATGCTTAGTCCTTAGTGCTTAGATATCAATTTTTATTAATTTTATCAAAATGGATATTAAACATTATACTGGTTTTAAGTCTATATCATATGATATCTCATTTCAACCAGCTACACCAAAAAAGAGGAAAGATTTAGTTGATGCAGGGCATGTACGCAATGTTTCGGAATATAATAGCTTTTTTATTTTACACCATAGAAATATCATGTTTGTATTATAGGTTATTTTTCTTATTGATAGCAATAATCCATTTTTCCCTTTGAAATGAATAAAATTTACAATCACTGTTATACCCAGTATTTTTACATGTATCATATCTTTTTCTTTTTGAAAAATCCATATTCGCCATTATTTGAATGTTTACAAGTTAAATGCACAAAACTGCCACTAACAGCGTTGGTGAAAACTGTCAAATCCCCTCTACTCATCGGCTCACAGCGAATTCATCATCAACTAGCCTCTAACGTCCACTGCTGAACATAGGCCTCTTGCATGCTTCTCCACTTAGTCCGATTTTGCGCCATCTGAATCCAATTTGTAGTCACTCTTTTTATGTCATCTGTCCATCTCGTTGGGGGTCGACCTCTATTTCTGTAAGCTTGTATTCGGGGTCTCCATTCCAAAATTCTTTTTGTCCACCGGTCATCAACTGATCTTGCTACATGACCTGCCCAGTTCCACTTTAGTGTTGTTATCCT